TACTTATATATTTGCTTAATTTCTACTTGTTACTTATAATTAAAGATTTACATTTTAATCTAAGTTAGAATATTTAAATTAGTTGACGCAGTTCTGTTGAGTTGACGAAATTGAGGAGTTTTTTGCTCGTCTCGGGAGTGGGTGATAGCATCTCGTATAGTGTATCCGGTAGTTTTAGTTCAATGCGCCTTTCACTGAATTTATGACATTCTGTTAGTATAATATGCTTGACTGTGATGATTGTTCCACACGTCAGGCATGATGGAGGGTCTTTCTTTGGCCATGAGATATACGTGTGTCATGCGCGAGTAGCCTATTCGTATAGGCGGACAAGAATTGCCTCGTCTCTTCTGGACATCTCAAATGATTTGGGMCATGGTAGTATCGAGTGTTTTATTTCCCTTAGTTTATTGTTATCACATTTCGACCAAAGGTTTTGCCATTCATYCATGTACTTGAATTTGGTTGAGTTTATCAAGTCTCTGTCCGATATGAGGGGGCATACTTCAAAAGCGGTGGTACCTGTTGTTTCTTTTGCTTTTAGATCAGCTTCTTCGTTACCTCTTATGCCGACGTGTCCCGGGATCCATGCGAGTGATATACTATTTTTACGTACATAGAGTTCATTAATTATATGGCAGATAACTGGTTGCGACGTATTTAAATTGCATATGCGGATTAAGTTACTTAGGGCCGCTTTCACCAAATACTTTAAACGTCGATTACGCTTAATCGACTGATAACAGTTATTTAACCGGCCAAATTCGGCCGATTAAACCCCGGTTTACCTTAATCGTAGTTTAAAGTAGTGGTGAAACCGGCCCTTAAAGAATAGGACATTAATAGATATTTATTATCGTTAGTACAGTGAATGCTTTGAATGACTATAAGTATCGCTAGGGCTTCTACAGTACAAATACTACATACCTCATTAGTTAGTTGCTATAATATTATAATACTCTAATTGTATTTTTTCATAACAAATAAAAGATTTCAATTTCACGAAAAGTTACCTATTGATGTAATTAATTTAAAATATTACACAAAGTGTAAAATAAGAGTTTTCATTTCGTGTAATGGATAAAATATATGTCCATTTCATGAACTAAAATCTGACTTACACGATATGATCGTAGTTCATGAAATGGATATCCATTTCATGAAAAATACGATTAAACTAAGTGGAT